TTCTGAGGATCTTTTTTCAACTCTAAGTCCTTCCCAAATCCTTTACGTTACTTATTTCCAGTTTTGTTGATTCTGACTCTTCTCCATTGTCATATGTTTTGTTGTAGTTCTTTTGTTTTTTTTTTAAACAAAGAAAACACTAAACTATGCATGTAAAATAAACTATACATGTTAACATATTGAGGTAGGTTTGGGAGGGAAATGAAGAGATGGTACTGGGTCTGGCAGTAGCAGCAGAACTAAAGTATGGAAGTGAAGTATTAGTATGGATTCTAATTCACAGAATCTGCAAATAGAACATCAAGAAAATCTCCCCATCTATAGGGATTTTCCCTATATTTCCCACTATATTTCCTCCATTTCCCACTTTGATCCAAACCTGGAAAGCTTCCATTTCAGGGGCAAATAACTTTGGTGAAAACATTTCTATGTTATACATGTTGCTTGATTTAATAATGAGATCATCAAAACACATACTTCCATTGTTCTATCTTTCAAGGAACCTTGTATGATTTTGACATGTATACAACATATTTTGTTGGAAGACAGTCTTTAAGATAGCATCTTACTTTTCAACATGAAATGATTGCTTTATAGTCAACAAAATAAGCACAGTGAGATTTTTATATTTTTGAGCAATTGGTCAACAGTGTGTCTATAAAGATGTGGTCTGCTGTAGAATGTCATTTTTGAAAGCTTTGTTCTTTTCATACCTTCATCAAGGTTGTTAGTGATTCATGGATAGATTATTTTTGATAAAGATTTACAGAGCTAGGAAAATACTCATCTGGGTCAATAGATATACTCTCTTGGTCACTATTTTTGGGTAATAATAAAGTATATAATTTTTTCCCTGAAGAGTTTAGTATCCTACCTTCTTTCAGGCTTCTTGGGATTCAGTCCCTTAATGCCCTCAAAACTGTGTCATCTCCAGTACAGACATCTTCCATGAATGCTTTGTTTAGTCCAGGTGTTCTTTCCATCCTCATTTTCATTGCAGACTATGATGTTGGAGTTCAAATGTGGTAACTCCACTGTCATTGCTGGAGAAACAAGCTTGTTATATATAGTTTTATTTTGAACCTATCATTTCCATTTTCTGTCTGTTTTCAGATTTCTTTGAATGCCTTTAGGATGATTTGGCTTAGTTCTCTTGCCAAATTGTCCAAAAATTTGTTTTTCTCTCCACTGCTTTTTACTGTTCTGAGATGCTACTCTTCAAAATTTTTAAAGATCTAAAAAATCTGTGGTCAGACATTACAAAGACAACTAATTTGATATTTAAATTGTTTCTTTCTGGCTGCCTGCAGAATTTTCTCTTTGACCTGATAATTTTGGAATTTGGCTACTATAGTCCTTGGCGTTTTCAATTTGGGATCTCTTTCAGGAGGTGGTTGGTGGATTCTTTCTATGGCATTTTACCCTCTGGTTCTAGGACCTCAGGGAAGTTTTCCTTGATGATTTCCTGAAATATGCTGTCCAAGTTCTTTTTTTCATCGTGATTTTAATAATTTTTAAATTGTCTCTCCTGGATCTATTTTCCAGGTCAGTCGTTTTACCAATGAGATATTTTATGTTTTCATCTATTTGTCATACTTTTGTTTCTGTTTGATTGATTCTCACTCTCTCAGAGAGTCATTAGCTTCCATTTGTCCAATTCTAATTTTTAACAAATTGTTTTCTTCTATTAGATTTTATACCTCCTTTTCCATTTGGCCCATTTTATTTTTTAAGGAATTCTTCTCCTCTGTGAGTTTTTGTGTTCCCTTTTCTGTTTGGCCAATTCTGCTTTTTAAGGAATTGTTTTCTTCAGTTAATTTTGTCCTTCCTTTTCCAAGCTACTGACTCTCTTGCATACCTCTCATTTCTTTTCCCAATTTTTCTTCTACCTCTCTTATTTGACTTTTAAAATCACTTCTGAGCTCTTCCAAGAAGGCTTTTTGGGCTTCAGACCAATTCATATTCCTTTTTGAGGTTCCAGATGAGGGTTTGTTGACAATGTTGTACTCTTCAGAGTTCCTGCCTTGATCTTCACTGTTCCTAAAATAAGAATCTATAGTACATTTCTTTTTGCTCAAGGTGTTTGCTTATTTCCTGGCCTTTAAAAAGATCAAGCTATCCTGATGGGGAGCACGGGGCACTGACCCAAGCTTCTTGTGCTGTGAGCCCAGGGTCTGGTCACTGGCTTTGTGTGTTGGGATCTCAAATGCTGGCAGTTGGAAGCTGTAGGGTTCTGACAGCTTACCTGGTGTTGGGCTGGAATCAGCAACGCTGGAACTGGGGTAGGATTGGGTAGTCTGGCTCCTAGAGGTTGCCTGTTCACCTGGGCCTTTCCTTCCTTTCCTTTTCTTTGGTTCCTTTCATATGGATGTTTTGCTGCTGTGGGATATTTCTCAGCCTAGGGCTTTCCCCCTTGGAGCTGCGCTTCCCAGAGTTGCTGAGGCACTGGGAGACTTGGCTGCTGTAGAACACTGTAACACGCAGTGGTTTTCCGAGCTGGTTTCCACTGGTTCTCCTGCCCATACTGAGACACTAGGGGGTCCTGGTGCTGGTGTTTGCCTGCGCCACCACCTGGGGTTCAGGATCTCCCCCTGGTATGCTGAGGTTGGGCTTTCCACTAGCTTGCTGGGACACCTCCCATTCTGTACTGCTCCCCTTCCCCCAGGGCAAGAGGGGCCTTTCCTGTTAATCCCTCAAACTTCCTGGGCTATCAGACTGCTACACCCTGTCTTTCTGCTGGTTCAGCTGTTCCAGGGTTTTTTCCTGGGGCGATATTTTCTAGGCTTTCAGAGGTTAATAAGGGATGGTGAGAACGGCTTACTTTTTATTCCACCACCTTGGCTCCCGAAAGTGAACCAAAGACAACTAATTTGAAAATGATCCATATATTTGTAAACAGTAATTTTCTGTCTTCAAATAAAATTACTTTTACTCTTATGTTATTTCTTTAGTATTTGCCATCAATTTCCAAACTTCTTCTTGAAGAAAGCATTCATGACATATATGTGGGAGGTTTCTTTATGGCCCATAAGCCCTTGGCCTATCTTATTTCTTATTCCAGAACTGAATTTTCCAATATATTTTTCAGTGACCTCCCTGTGCCCAGTGTGGTATTTAAATCAACCAGTATTAAAAACTTACATTGGTCTAATTTGAAAGGTCTTACTGAGTTCTTAGCAGAATTTCTCTACTTCTTCAACCTCTACTGTAAATGTTGGCACATAACTACAATTAACTTGATGGTGGTATTTTTGTTTATGCTTATCAGGAGCACTACAAGAAGAGATGACCAAATATTCCATGAAATAATATTTCATATTGCTTTTGAATACACCATAAAACCACAACTTCTTTATCTGCCTCTTCAAGGACCCTGTGAACCATCCATATATTTAGGTTGAACTTCTTTTTGTCTTTTGGTTTCATTTAAAATGAGATTATCAATATTGATATATTTTCATTCCTTTGGTAGTATATTGATTTGCTGATCTTTGATCTCACATTTAGAATATCAATAGCTAAAGTAATCTTCACAAATCATTTAAAAACCAATACTTAGCACCTTTGTGTCACTATCACTGGAGAAGCAGAAAGAAGTTACATAAGACTTTTTCCTTTGCTTCAGTTGATTCAAATTAGTCTAACAAACATACATTAAGTGCCCACGATGATAAAAGCACTGTGCAAGGCACTGAGAATACAAAGACAAAAATTAAGCAGTCAGTCTTTGCTTTGAAGGAGCTGTCCATGAGTTGTCCTGGTCAAATAATTCATCTCTATGTGAGTAGGCTACTGGGCCTCTCTGTAGTAGCTTGATTGACTGATGCTTAAAAAGCAGACACAGGCTATTGTGAAACTATACCTGAACCTCCACTGGCATAGCCTTTGACAACACAGGGTCATCTCTGTGACAAGATATGGCACCAGATTAAGACTTTGTGTATTCTTTCCCAAAACTGAGTGGCATAAAACTAAGGAGAAAGGACTTATTCCTAAAATATTCAAGTTGTGAATAAATGATTACACTCTGGTGATTTAAGCCTACTCCATTGTCTTTCATTATTGATTTTTAAAAGTTTTATTGATGCTTTTTGCCTTTATATCAGTCTCTTCTATTCCTCTCAGCCCCTTGATTGAACTTTCCCTTGTGACAAAGAAAAATCTATGCATAGGTCTCCCAGATCTTCCTCTCCAGTTATAGCTATTAAGAATATAAACTCTTCTGTTTGGCTTTTAAAGTTCTCTACAGCCTAATGATCATACATTTTCAGTCTCACTACTCCCCTCTACACACTTTAAAGTCTAGTCATACCACCCTTCTTGCTGTTTCCCACAAATAACACTACATCTCCTATCTCTGGGCACTAGCTTCTTCTAATTCCTTCCCAGCCCATATCTGTAATGTTCTCTCTCCTCACCTGTCTCTTGGAATCCCTGATTTCTTTCAAGACTCAGTGGCAAATTCCAGTTTCTGCCTTTCCTGGTCACGGCAGTTGCTAATGCCTTTCTCTTCAACATTACCTTGTATCTACTTTTGTCTTGAGGACTCTTTTGCTTTTGTAACCCTGGCACAGAGCAAAATGTCTGGCACAAAGTCAGCATTGAGTAAATGCTTGTTGACTGATATAACATTCCATTAAATTTGGATGCCTCTTTGAAAGTACTTGTTTATTTATGTATGGTATCTACCAATGTGAGGAGGGGCTGTTTTTGCTTTTCTTTGTATGCCTAGAACTTGTATAGCACAGTGTAAGGGCTTTGTTGACTAATTGGCAACAACCAAATAAGGGCATGGCTGTAATTAAGAAATTCTAGGACCTGCCACAAGATTAAGTTTTTAAAAGTTTTCTTTCTTTTTTTTTTTTGTTAAAAAGTTTTCTTATCAAAACTTAAAAGTTCCTTAAATTCAGGTTTCAACTACTATTGAATGATAATGATTAAAGTTAAAAACCCATTCATAAAATTACAGGCTGACTGTTTTGGAGAAAAGTAATACATACCATTTTTTTCTGCAAATGCAATTGCATCTTCTTTGGTACTGAAGGTTAGAACCAGATTTGACAGAGGATCCGCCCTGTAGGAAATACATTTGTATTTGGTCATCTAGAGCTTAATATGACAATATAAGACATTTTTAGACAGATCATCGTGTGTGTATATGTAGTGTATGTCCGTATTTTTGAGCATTTTCATGTTAAAACATAAAGGGCTATATATATGAAAACAGGAGGAAGAAAGCTGTGACATGGGGCTTCTTTTTACCCTCATTACCCAGACAGAGAACCCTGCAGAGAGATAACAACAAAACTCTGACCATCTTAATTCTATCATTACTATAAAGCACAGAGAAACTGCCAAGATATGATGAACATGACTTGTGTTCCAACTTCTGAAGAAATCACTCCTACTGTCAGAGACACTTAGAACAATGAGGCTCCAGGACCTAATGGCATACCTGCTGAGTTTTTCAAGCAGGGATGGAGGTAATATTTAGACATCTAGGCATTTTTTCCCTTCCAAAATATGAAATGCTGAAGAAATGCCACAAGATTTCAAAAATGTCACTACCACTGTCTCCCTTAACGAAAGACGACGGTAGCAAACAGGAACTCTATGGACTGAATTCTTCTGGGATAACTCTTAACTATTACAAATCATATATTCCCAAGAATCTTTTTTCTTGCTTTCTTCAAGTCTTGAATCAAATCCTACATCCAGTCCCAGTACTTCCCTATGAAATTACCTTTAATTTACCCTGTAAATATCTTGTATGTAACTAGTAGGTTGCAGGTGACTACTTGAGAACAGGAACTGTTTGTATCTTTTTTTGTGAATCTCTAGCACAGTGCTGGCACATACCAATTGTCTAATAAATGCTTGGTGACCTGATGACTAGATTATTTGATCTTTGCTATTTTAAGTCAGACAAAGGAAGAATATATAAAATATGAAGATTCTCTGAACTCCTAAGAAACTGGCTATAAAGAAACAACTTTTAGGGGTAGCTAGGTGGCGTGGTGGATAGAGCTCTTGCCTTGGAGTCAGGAGGACCTGAGTTCAAATTTGACCTCAGACACTTGACACTTAGTAGATGTGTGACCCTGGGCAAGTCATTTAACCCCATTGCCTAACCAAAAAACAAAACAAAAAACAAACAAACAAAAAAAAACTTTTAGAGATAGAAGGGGTCTGAAAGAGTTAGTCTAAGTAATTCATTTTTATAAGTGAGGAAACTGAGGCTCAAAATGGAAAAGTAATCTGCTGAAGAACATAAAATAATTAACCAAGCACATATAAAGTTCTTATTATGTGCCAGATACTATGTTAAGCACTAGAGATACAAGGGAAAAAAAAAAAAGAAACGTTACCTGCTCTCCAGGAACTCACATTTTACCAGGAAAATTACATAAAGCATATATTATATAAAGTATATATATAAAGTAATATATATGTATGTGTGTATATATTTTATATATATATATATATATATATATATGTAAAATGAGTATAAGGTAATGGGGGGTATATGGAGAGCGGAAAAGTCATTAGAAGCTGGAGAGATCAAGAAAGTCCCATATAGGACCCAAGACCAGAATCTCGAACTACTGATTCTTACAGTACTCTTTGTAGTGTAATTACCACACTACACATAAACCAACTAAGAAAAAGTGTCAATGTGCATATAATCTATCAAATTGCTTATGACTGCTGGAGTTTATCCAGTTGATGAATGAACAGCAGTGAAAGAGCACTTAGTTAGGAATTAGAAGATCTAAATTCTAATTCTTTGAGGGCTGAGTAGGGAAGGTATTACCTCTATTTTTCAGATAAACAGACTTGTTAAGTTAAATAATAACATATTACTATAATATTTTAATATGCAAAAAAGAATAATAGAATTTGAGAGCTGGAAGGTACCTTAGAGATCATTTAGTCCCACCTCTCATTTTACAGATAAGAAAACTGAGACTCAGATATTAACTGAACAAGAACACAAAGCTAGTTTGTGGCAGAAGTGGTGATTCAAATCCATGCCTCCTGGCTCCCAAGCTAATGGTTTTTTTTTTCCCTTGACACATAATGCCTCCTTTTAAAATTGTTTTCACACACTAGTTCAAGAAGTGACTTGACCAAGCATTACATACAATTAACTGAAGTCTCTTGATTCGTAGCTCTATGCTCTAATACAATAATGCCTCTCAATTATCAAATGGCTCATGTTCATAAGTAAATCAATAGATTGTATCCCCATGGACCTTCTATTCTTAACAAAAAAGGTCTGATTATTTAAAGTGCAACTGTCAGTTGTCTTCCCAGGAATGGGCAAAAGAAAGGAGAAGCAGGTAATAAGTGCTTAATGAATGCTTGTTGAGGTTACAATGATAAAATTTTTGAGTCTTACAAAATGACATATTCTACTTGTGATGATTCTTTTTTTTTTGTTCCCAAGGCTAAGTATGGTTTTCTTTGCAAAAATAGTACCTTTTTGCTATTTTGAATTTCCAAGAGGAGCAAGCAATTAAAAAATATAAAAATAAAAACCAGTGGTGAAAACACAAACACAATTTAGTATTTTGCTGATCACTAATAGATATTTGGATTCCACATATGATACAACCTTCAGCCAGAATCTGCCAGGCCTCATGATTCCCCATACCTTGGCAGAGATATTAAAGGTTATCAAACAACAACAACAACAACACAAGCTGCCAGAAGTACAAATGTCATAGGACACAAACTAGGTATAGATCAACATCTCACACCATATACCAAGATAAGGTCAAAATGGGTGCATGGATATAAAGGGTGACACCGTAAGCAAATTAGAAGAGCAAGGAATACTCTGTCAGATCTACAGAGAGGGAAAGAATTCATGATCAAGCAATAGAGAGCATTAATAATTTTAATTATATTAAATTAAAAAGCTTTTGTACAAACAAAACCAATGCAACCAAGATTAGAAGGAAAGCAGAAAGCTGAGAAGCAATCTTTATGGCAGTGGCTCTGATAAAGGCCTCATTTCTCACATATATAGAGAACTGAGTAAAATGTATAAGAATATGAGCCATTCCCCAATTGATAAATGGTCAAAGGATATAAACAGGCAATTTTCAGATGAAAAGTCAAAGCTATCTATAGGCATATGAAGAAGTGCTCTAAATCACTTCTGACTAGAGAAATGCAAATTAAAACAACTCTGAGATACCACTTCACACCTATCAGATTGGCTAATATGGCAGAAAAGGAAAATAAATGTTGGAGAGGATGTGGGAAAATTGGGACACTGATGCACCACTGGTGGAGCTGTAAACTGAGCCAACCATTCTGGAGAACAATTTGCAACTATGTCCAAAGGCATACCAAACTGTGCATACCCTTTGATCCAATAATACTACTACTAGGTCTGTATCCCAAAGAGATCATACAAAAGGGAAAAGGACCTATATGTGAAAAAAACATTTATATCAGCCCTATTTGTGGTGGCAAAATGCTGGAAATAAAGGGGATGCCCATCAATTAGGGAATAGTTGAACAAGTTGTGGTATATGAATGTAATGGAATACTATTGTGCAATAAGAAATGATGAAGAGATTGCACAAAATCCTGGAAAGACTCGTATGAACTGATGCAAAGTGAAATAAGCAGAACCAGGAAAATATTGTACACAGCATCAGCAACATTGTGTGATGATCAGCTATAAATGACTCAGCTGTTCTCAGCAACACAGTGATCCAAGACAAGCACAAAAGACTCATGAAGGAAAATGCTATCCATATCCAGATAAAGAACTGAGATTCTGAATGCAGATGGAAACATTTTTTTCACTTGCTTTATTCTTTCTCATGTTTTTTTTAATCTGTTTCTTCTTTCACAACTGTGACTAATATGGAAATATTTTTTACATGATAGCACATGTATAAACTGTATCAGACTGCCTACCGTTTTCAGAAGAGGGGAGGAGAGGAGGGAGAAAAATTTGGAACTCAAAATCTTGTAAAAATGAATGCTAAAAATTTTCTTGACATGTAATTAGGGAAAAAATAAAATACTACTTAAAAAAGTACAAATGTCAAGTGATATATCCAATTTGAACTGAAAGACAATGGTCCTATTACAAGATATTTGTAAGATATTTAAATATTAAGACACAAATGTTGATGCCTTTGAAAAGCAAAAAAAGTCAGCTGCAGTAGTTCCTACTTTTCAAAAGCTGGTTTAATTTAACTCAAGTTCTAAATGGTTCTAACTTGTGTGATGGTTTTCTAGTCCTTACAGAAAGGTCATTAGCCTGCAAATGCATTCTTTTTTTTTTAACCTTCTATTTTTCACTTTTTGTTAAAAGTTTATTTCTTCAACTAATAAGCATTTAGAAATTAATCTGCCCATACCACTATGTCCTACACCCTCATTTAACAAATTAAAAATAAAGCCCTGACATAGCTGACCAGCAAAACAATTTCCTACATTAACCATGTCCAAAAATGTTACATATCAGTATGCCTTTTAAGTTCATCTACTCTGGCAGGAAGTGAGTTGAGTTTTTCATCTTCATTCTTTTGGACTTATGATTGCACTGATCAGAGTTCTAAAGTCTTCTGATGTTCTCTATAATATTATCACTGTATAAACCGTTCTAGTTCTGCTCACTTCTCTCTGCCAAGGTTCAAAGAGGTCTTCTCGTTTTCCTCTGAATCTATTAATTTAATAATTTCTTATAGCACAATAATATTCCATTACATTCATATTGTGATATATGTTCTTTATCTTAGCCATTTTCCAATAGGAAACAGTTTTCAATTTTTAGCTGAAAATAGTTGCTAAAATGTTAGTACATATAAATTCCTTTCCTCTTTCTTTGATTTCTACGTGGTATAGACTTAGTAGTGTTTTAGTTAGGTCAAAGAACATATATAGTTTAGTAAGCTTCTGGGCATAGTTTCAAATCTGTAAATGCATTCATAATGTATACAGATATTAAAAGAATGAAGACTACAATTAAATTGATATTTAATTTCTCAAGAATCTAAATAAAAATATAGATATAATTTATGACTAAGGTATCCTAAAGCTAAA